CGTCGAACTAGCTACGTTTGTGCTGGCAATAGTCCAGCGAGCGAAAATGAGACATAGATAGAAAGATAGAAATGGTTTTTATTAAAAAGATCATCGCAGCCAATGGCTGAATTGCGATCCATTTCACAAGGTTATATACAATACAATTGCAATTCAAATTGAAATAACACAAAGTATGACATAAATCAATAATCAAACATATAGACATTTCATTAAAAATTCATTGAACAGATTAATAATAATAATAATACATAACATTTATTAGGCGCTTAATACTGATGTTTCTAAGCGCACAGTGTTCTGATTAAGAGAAGACTATAACCCGTAGAATTAAATTAGAAGAAAAAGCAAAAATACAAAAGTAACATAGATAAGGTAAGAAAAACAGTGGCAATCAACTAAATAAAGACAAATATGGTGCGCACCTCCATTGACCGACGCACAACTGCAATTTACAATTTGAAAAGATAGGTTTTGAGTAGAGATTTGAATTGAGATACAGAGATTCAAAATTTTGTTAAAAAAAAGAAAGAGATAGGGAGAGGTGTAGGAGAGGGAGAGTTGGAGTGATGACAAAGAGAGAGAAGGAGAGAAAGAGAGAAAGAAAGAGAGAGAAGGGGGACGAGAGAGAAAGACGGAAAGAGATAGAGAGGGAGAGAGAGAGAGAGAGTTGAAGAGAGGAAGAGACAGACAAAGGGTACCTTATCATTACAGATGATGGGAGATGGCAAGAAATATTCAGTAATGCAGAAAATTGAGATAAAAACTATCAAAATTCATTCACATAATTCAATCATGGACTGAAATTCTAAAAATACAATTTATATTGGTATTACATTTTATTCAAAAGATTTATAAAGTAAGGAAGAGAGCTGCACTGGAAGCGTTTTGTTTTACATTGTTATTGTTTAAACTTTGATTGAGATCTTAGAGAATAAGTGCTTTGTTGTCTAAGAGGTAAACATTCTTTAAATTGTGGGTGTTTGACAAGTGCATTTGCAAAGTCTATACATAACTGCTCACGTCTTGCTTCTAATGAACATAGATTGCACGTTTCCAATGCTGCTTCATAATTTTCATACTGACGTCCTAAAATGATTTTGCAAGCTCTTTTCTGAATACGTTCTAAAATATATATATAAGTTTTTGTTAAATTACCATTAAAAACCGGTAACCCATAATCTAAAATCGAACGAATGTATCCTTTATATATAAGTAAAAGGTCATCTACAGGCAATCCATACTTCTTAAGGCAACGAAACATAAACAACTTCCTATTACACCTTTTTGTGAGATCGGATACATGACTATCCCACTTTAGGTTTGATTGTAAAATAATTCCGAGGACTATGGCTTGATGAACATAAATTAATTCTTTGTCGCCAATGAACATTGAAGTTTGTTCATCACATTTTTTCATAAATGTTATAACCATAGAGAAACACTGGGACGGATTCAATGTCATATTATTTTTAGCTGACCATTGGAATAGATCAGTGATTGCATTTAGTAGTTTAGACTGAGATGTTACTTTTCGGCTTTCTACAATCGTTAAGTCGTCAACATATTTATAAATTGGTAAGTTAACATCATTACAGGCATCATTGATCATTACAATAAATAGAATCGGACCAAGTTTGGTACCTTGCGGAACACCAGCATTGATTGTTTTCAAATTAGATAACTGACCAAAATATTGTACCCTTTGTTGACGCAACTCGAGGAAACTCAGTATCCATGATATTACACATGGCCTCACTTGCAGATGGATCAATTTGTTGATTACAATATTGTGGTCGATGCGATCAAACGCCTTAGAAAAATCGGTAAGAATGATGGTGCATAAAGATTTGGGTTTATCAGCGTTGGCATATATTTGATAAAGAAGTTGTATCAAATAGTGGTTAGTGCTTAAGCCAGGCCGATTTCCATACTGATTGGGATCAATATGCCTGGTAATCAGGGGCGTAAATCCGTACTGAGGAGTGGGGGGGGGGATGATCGGCGATAGCCATCACATACTAGCACGAGCACACGCCCACACTAATTTACGCAAGCGCGCGCGACCGCGCACGCACTAACACACACACACCCGCACACACACACACCCACACAAACGCACACACACACACACACACACGAACAAACAATATTAGAGAAAGAAGACGATTCGTTGTACCGTTCTCGAAAATAATCCTCGTCTGGATTCAGTTCCCCCCCCCCCCCCCTCCTGCGCGAAGCGCGGAAGCTTTTACGTTTCATTAAATCATTAGGAAAAGAAGACGATTCGTGTACCGTTCTCGACTTTTAATCCTCATCTGAATTCAGTTTTTCCCTTCCCCCCCCCCCCCCTCCTGCGCGAAGCGCTGAAATTTTTACGTTTCATAAAATCATTGGAGAAAGAAGACGATTCGTTGTATCGTTCTCGACTCTTAATCCTCGTCTGAATTCAGTTCCCGCCTCCCCTCCCGCGCGAAGCGCCTAAGGTTTTACGTTTCATTAATTCATTAGGAAAAGAAGACGATTCGTTGTACCGTTCTCGACTTTTAATCCTCATCTGAATTCAATTTTTCCCTTCCCCCCTCCTGCGCGAAGCGCGGAAGCTTTTACGTTTCATAAAATCATTGGAGAAAGAAGACGATTCGTTGTACCGTTCTCGACTCTTAATCCTCGTCTGAATTCAGTTCCCCCCTTCCCTCCCGCGCGAAGCGCCTAAGCTTTTACGTTTCATGAAATCATTAGAGAAAGAAGACGATTCGTTGTACCGTTCTCGACTCTTAATCCTCGTCTGAATTCAGTTCCCCCCTTCCCTCCCGCGCGAAGCACGGAAGCTTTTACGTTTCATTAAATCATTAGGGAAAGAAGACGATTCGTTGTACCGTTGTCGACTTTTAATCCTCATCTGAATTAAGTTTTTCCCTTCACTCCCGCGCGAAGCGCGGAAGCTTTTACGTTTCATTAAATAATTAGGGAAAGAAGACGATTCGTTGTACCGTTCTCGACTTTTAATCCCCATCTGAATTCAGTTTTTCCCTTCCCCCCTCCTGCGCGAAGCGCGGAAGCTTTTATGTTTCATAAAATCATTGGAGAAAGAAGACGATTCGTTGTACCGGTCTTGACTTTTAATCCTCATCTGAATTCAGTTTTTCCCTCCCCCCTCCCCCCCTCCCCCTCCCCCTCCCCCCCCCCCCTCCCGCGGGAAGCGCGGAAGCTTTTACGTTTCATTAAATCATTAGAGAAAAAAGACGATTCGTTGTACCATTCTCGACTCTTAATTTCTTTAAAAAGGGGGTGGGTTTTTTCTCTCTCTCTTTGGACTCCTGAGAAATGTAAAAAAGAGGTTATAAAATATCTTGAATATCATAGAAAAATTGATCAAATCTCGGGATCAAATTCCTGAAATTCCTGCTAGCTTTGAAAGCTCATTCAGGATTATTTCATTTTGAAAAGTAAAAGCATTGGCCCCCAGTCCCCCTCGATCGACTAGAGCTCACCTGAAATTGGGGGGGGGGGGGGGGTTGTACATTTAGCAGTGTTCCGGATTTGGGGGGGGGGGTCTTCAAGGTAGGAAAAGCCAGCGAAAAGCCGGCGAAAGGGGGATTCAGAAATGTTGGCAGTCCTGAGATAGGGTGGGGGGGGGGGTGCTTTCAAAGGGCGGGAACGAGCGTACGCGTGCCCTAAATAATACTAAGTGAGGGGAGCCGGGCATCTACTGTACATGATTGCACTTTTTAAGCGCTCGCGCGCTGGCGCACTTTACGTCTGGGCTATAATAATACCTTGCAAAATAACGAAAAATTATTCTAACGTTTATGAAGTGCTTGTTCGCGCACGTCGCGCAACTACTCTTAATGATCGTGACATACTATATCCGTGTAGGCTATACAGTTATACTTACATTAAAAAAATAACTAATTTCTCATGTATTATGCTTAAATTGAAACAATCACATTTTTTCTTCTTCTTCTTCTTCTTCTTCTTCTTCTTCTTCTGCCTTTTTTTTTCTCTCTTTTTTTTGTAATATCAGGGGGGGATGATTGTACAGGCCATTCCCCCCTACTTCGAGCCAGGGGGGATGCAGCTCCCCCCCCCCCATCCCCCGGGATTTACGCCCCTTCTGGTAATATCTTCAAGTAACCATTTACATATAAGATTCAGCTAGTTTTGCAAAGTAAGAAGTAAGTGAAATAGGGCGTAGATTTTGCAATGTGGGTGGTTGTGACTTAGGAATGGGTACAATTTCAGCTTGTTTCCAGAGTTGGGGGACGATAGAGCTCTGAAACGAATCATTCAGGATGTCAGTCAATGGGATACACAATTCGTAAGCAAATTCTCGTATTATTCTTACAGGTAGGTCTCCAGAAATCCCAGCTTTACGTTGATTAAGAGACTGCAATTGCTTGTATACTTCAAAAGGCTGGATGATTGGACATGTACAATGCGACGGTAAAAATGCAGGCAATTTACATATATCCAAACAAGGAAGATCAGCTGCTACAAAGGAAAAATGATCATTTATGCAATCAGAAATAACCTTAAAGTTTGAAGGATTGCTAGTATCAGTATTTGGAATTTCAATGGGTGAAGATTGTTTCCTATTGTTAGTAAGGATTTTAATTTGTTTGTACCAGCCAGCAGGATTTGTTGTTTTTAGATTACGTACTCTGGTATTATAATACCTAATTTTTTGTTCTTTAATCAAACGTTTAGCTTTGTTTCGAAGGAGACGCCAAAGAGATCGGTCATTTCTGTGAAATGCCACTTGCCGCTGGTGGATGATAGTTTTAACTCTTGCTGTTACCCATGGTTTATCAATAGGCCTGTTTACTAATGATATGCGAGTGACGTCATAATCCCTCGCACCCTAGCGATTGTTACTACGTAGGGCAAGCTTTGCGTGGTGCGGCACGGTCGCCACATTGTTTTTCCATGCCCGCTACGCTATACACATACAAAGCCATTGCTAGCGACCGCGACGTTTTTTCACCCTAATTTCTACAATGGCATCGCCTTCGACATCGAGTTGTAGTTCCAGCAAGCCGTTTTCGCAGTGGACAGTGAAGGAGCTCACCGATTATTTAAGAAAGAGAGGAGTTACGACATCAGGGTACAACAAACAGAAACTAGTTCAACTTGCGACTGCTGTGGCCGATATCGCTTTGCCCCAAGACCCGGACCTTGCGAGCTTCGACTCCGCACGGTCGCTGCGGGAGAAGTTGGAGCGTGCGGGGTGCTCGTTCGACGACCCAATGAAAATCACCGGCTACACCGAGAACTTTGAAAGTATACCAGATTTCGGATTATACGACATTTTCAACTACCTGATAGTAAATAGAACTGACTACGACAGAAAGAAACTCAAAGCATATAAATCGTTTGAGGACTATCGTCTATTTGCTGACGGGAATGTGGAGCAAATGAAGTTCAATGAAGTCCATTCATATGGGGTCTGTCTGCGTACCGCGAATCGCTGTTACACGTGCCGTAACAGCAATGCTTACCTCCCATTTTTGCGATATTTCGTCGGATTTCGGAAAATAAAATCGAAGATTTGTCATGTACAACTGAGAAAAACTATATTTATTTTAATTATATACCCTAAGGTTGGAAAACAAACAGTTTTAAACGAAGTTTATTAGGACGATGATCAGCCTTTTTTTCCTCGCATTCCCCACATCGCCGTATACAAAGTGTGTGTAGCAGGGCCGTAGCAGACACTGCGCTCGGTTTGTTTGCCAGAGCTTACAACCGTGTGCAAATTTAAAGGTCCGTGAATACATTAGTAAACAGGCCTATTTCATAACACTGAATCTCTTTGGCTGGTAAAAACATATTCAAATGATGTTGTACTGTATCTAACTTGGCATTTGTTATGTATGTCATTTTACAGTAAACATTATTCCAGTCATAATGAACAATCCAATTGCCGAAACTTCGCATCCCACTACTCTTTAGTGGGCGGATGACCTTCTTTGATTTAAAATTTTCAGGTGGGCTGTATAACGTACAGACCACCTTATAATTTCGTTAGAATTGCCTTTATTTATTTATTATTTATCAGGTGGGCTGTATATCGTACAGACCACCTTATAATTTCGTTAAAATTGCCTTTATTTATATCTTTTTCTTATTTCTAACCACTTTTTTGTAAGCACGATTACTTGAAAATGGCTCAATCAAATGCCTTCAAATTTGGCACACATATGTATAGGCATATGTACAAATCACAAAAACGTTTTCAACATTGACCTTTACTGATGACGTCATCTAGGCGCCATTTTGTAAAATTTTACGGAAATCAACACATGATCATATCTTTATAACCAAAAGTTATTTCTCATTCATATTTATCATGATCAAGGTCAATATCCGTCCGGTCAATTGAAGGTCAAATAACGCGCGCGTGCGCGTACGTCCGCGCTTCAATGCGCGCGCAAAATTTTAAAATGCTCAAAATCGTCTCAAAATCATGTTGCATACGTTTAAGGTCATTCTAAGCATTTTATAAAAAATCGCGCACACGCGCATGCGCGCGTCAAATTATTACACAACATAGAATCACCATTTTTTTTCTTTCATAATATTCCACATATTTTTACAAACAAATTGATACCATGTTTTTCTCTTTATGACCATTAATAACGGAATGATCGACCGTTTAACATAAATTTCCGTGCGCGCGAGCTCTTGTAATACATAGCATAATGGGCAAAAACATGCCTATACAAAATCCATTGTAGCTCTTTAGGATGCAAGGTGACCCCAATTTTTTTTAAATATTTAAATAGAGTATGAATTGGAGATATGATTTAATGTCTCATTTGACCCTCAATTAACTCATGACGTCATTACAATGGCCTCCGAACTCAAAATTTTAGTTTGCATATTATGACATCAGCATATTTATGGAAAATTGATTGTATCTCTGACAAATATTGATCGATTTTCTTCCAAATTTCGATATATTCTAGCTGAGACAATTTTCTACAAACAAAGTTCTACTATATCATTTTGACAAAGGCATCATGGCGTATTTTTGCAATTAAAGGAGGCATGTCAATTTTTCACATTTTGCGTGTATTCTCTATATAGGACATGATTTTTTCTCAAAACTCGATTCTACATTCCCATCTTTCGCGAGCAATATCTCCGTCGTTTTAGCCTCGTTTACGCTGAACTTTGAGTATGTTGTAGCTGAGACAATTAGCTATCTCACGTGTGCCCTTCATTTTGTCTCAAACTTTAGTTGGAACAGCCCATCTATACTTGTTCCAAACAAGTATTACAAATCTAGTTCTGTTTGTAATCAGACCTGTTACGAGGCAACCATATAACACAATTATGATCACTTGTACTAATAGGAGACAAAATATTAACCTCTTTGTACAAAGAACTATTATTGATTATTATTTTGTCCAGCATGTTCTCACCCCTTGTAGCTTGAGTAACAACTTGTTTAAAGCCACCAACGTTTAAGATTGGCTGGGTGTCGAAATCGTTAAAATCCCCTAAAATTGAGATGCCAGCTTCAGGGTATCTAACAAGCAGGCTGTCAATTGCAGTAAATAGATGATCAGTATAAAGGTGTGCATTAGGGGTTCTCGGAGGGATGTAGATGACACAGACGATCAGGCTAGCTACAATTCGCGGTAACCGTGGTGGCCTCATGTGTATCCATAATGCTTCAACTCCGTCAGGTATCGGGACGTCAAGGATGCTTGCCTGAAGATAATGTTTGGCGTAAAGGGCTACCCCTCCACCTGAACGGTCTTCCCTCGGTTTGGAGAAGAGCGAAAAACCGGGCACTGCAAACATTTCCAGTGGGATATCATAATTGTACCATGTTTCGGTGACAGCTATGGCATCAACATTATTGACATCATCCACTACAACTAAATCCTCATATTTATTCCTTAGAGATCTGCAATTAGATAAAAGGACAACTGGAGTATCATACTTTTTAGGCGAAATGCAAGACTGTGGTATTACGTCAACTTTAATCAAGCAGGCAGGTAAAGATTCCTCCCTACAACGTCGAGGTGGTAGTCGAGGTCGGATGCGAACCGGAATTGAAATTGGAAAAGAACGATGGCGTTGCTTTCTGATGCCTCCCCGTTTTCCTCGATGACGTGTATGTTTCCGTGTTTGAGTAAGAACACTGTTACTGTTACATAACGGTCGCAAATTGTAAAGTTCGGAAATTGAGTATCGGATAAAAGAATCCTTGTTGCAGTGGTTGTCATGGCGAAAATCTAATGAAGGGCCCATGTTGGGGTTGATATCACCACATGAAAGGAGTTCAATCTGGAAGGAAGACTCGCCATTGGTATAGTAAAGTATTGGATGCTTAAGGTACTTAAGATGGCGAAGGCATACTTTTCTAGATGTGGAGTAGGGTTAATTACTTTGTGTTGCTACGTTGTGTTCATATAGGAAATATACCCCTAGGCAAATACACACAGGCAATAGGAGAACGAAAGTTGCATTCCACATGATAGCGTTCACCCAACCACACGCTATTCACATACGTCCATTGTCTTTTCAACATGTTCAAGGCTGAGTGACCAGCGGGAAATTTGAAAGTACTGTACAGTGTCGTGCTGGTATCGCAAGATGGTCGTGTAGAGTACAATGTATAAAGTCAATGGCGTACACCAAAAAAGTCAAAACACTCATAAACGTTGATAAACAATCTTTTACATAACTTACATGGTCCAGATATATCAGTTCATATACAGTAGTAGAATTCTCAGCATCTGAGACTTAAAGATGTAGGAAAAGCGATGAAAATACGGTGCAAAGTCATGTAAAGAGAGAGCTCAACATAAAGACGTGCTGCCTGTGAGGCGCCATCTATGCAGGTTTTGAGCAATTCCCTATTCCCGGAGCAATATGACTCAATTTCATTTTCTATAAAAATTATGTAAATGCAACAAACAAAAAAAACAAAAATCGTATTCACATTGTAGATTCAATGTAATGGTGTCGGGAAATGTATTTCGCGATCTTGGATCACCAAGTTAACATTACTCACATTCATGTCACATGGAGGGACGAAGGAAAATTGCGTTTAGTAGGCCTTTTTCGGGGATAAATGTAACATTTGATAATGGCCGAAAAGGGCATTATAAAAACTGGTGTCAACCAACATCTTTACACATGAGTCGTCGATTTCGGTTGTGTTATTAAAATGTGTAATTTAAATGCTCAAGTAATAAAAAAAAAAGAAGAAGATATGTTTGCATGCCGGTTACTTTTAGCACGTTCACGAACACGTCAAAGGCCGCATCAGCCCTAGTCCAGATTCAGTCCGTCCTTTGTTTTTATTCTTCTATCACACGCATCGATCCCACAGACAGTGCGGTCTCTCTACTGATTGCGCATTAATCTCCCAAGTTTCCGTCCACACGATTAAGAGGAATGGCTACGTCTACTTTCAACGTGGAGGGTGTTATCTTATCAGCTGATTGGGCGCTCTACACGGAAACGGTACAGAAGCAGGACTACATCAGTCCCTGTGGTTGCGTCAGCAAATGAGGCCTTGAGTGCAATGGACATTAGTGAGTCCAGGAAACTATGTTTAATAAGTTTTCAATCGTCGTTAATCAGTAATTATATGTTAAAGTATTTATACAAATGTTTAAAGATAGTATCTCTCATTTCTTTCATTTAAAGATCGTTGTGATGAAGGCCCTGATAAGGATCCTCCGGACGTGACGTGTTCGAATATTAGTCTCCCAATCACCGAACCCAATACCTTCTTTGGGCTGACTCGTGGTTATAATTTTACATACACGGATGCCAATCCGAGTCTCAGTGATGTAACCTATAATGTAACCATTGGAATATCGGGAGACCTATATGCACCAGGTTACACCCCTGTAACAATGTTTGCAATCGACGTTTGTAACAACTCGGCATCCTGTCTATTCCACGTAGAGAACACACGCAAGTATTCTCTGATTTTCATGTTATCTGATGTACATGCGTGCGTAAATATGTGTGCATTTTTTAAGTTAAATGATTCGGCCCGTACTCTCCTTTGCTTTTTTGCAGAACTGACACTGAAGATTTAGTTTAGACAATCTTGGAAGTAAACACATTAAAAAAAGTTTCAACAGAAAGGGTCCAACGTAAGAATTTTAACGCTTTCTCTTTCAACTAATTATGTCTCAATAAGGTAAAAGAGTAAAATTGACCTGGCTATATAATCTGTTGATGACTTTCACTACTTGCTATTTTAAGTGATTTCATATTAACTTTTTTAAGATCCTCTATGTGTACATTGAGTCTCTCTTTAAGAATGTATGATTAATTTCCGCTTTTCATTTCATTCAATTTTTTATTGACATTACAGTTACCGAGCTGCCCGTGAACTGTCCAGACTTGAATCGCAATTTAAGCACAGATGTGGACCAAGCGACGTATACCTTCAAGTTTAACTCAGATTTCGGAGCAGATAACGTCACCAAATCTGTAGATAGTTACAGATATCACGGAGATGGTGTATCGGTTAATCTTACTCTAGGAGGTTCCCCACTTGGAAGCAGTGTGTCAATAGGAACCCATGAAGTGGTTGCCCTCATCTATGATGACGTATTGAATAAGACATGCACGGGGACCTCTGTTGTCGAAGGTACTATGAATAGATCTATTCACGCCAATGTTGTTTTGAACATGTTTGTTTACGTTTACCCATAAGCGTCTTAGGTGCACCTCATTTTCATGGGGTAAAGATCGAGAATGATTCTTTTAACATATTTTAAAGGTAATACAAAGTTTTGATAAGGGGTCATGAATTTGGTTCAAATGAACATAAATGGAAGCATATGCGATCCTTCAATATTTAGTGATCGTTGTCGCGGTTGAAATCGAGTCTAAAGTTATGAAATTATGAATAATACACTCTGTATGTTGTATAGCTCCCTCTCAAGGTCAAGATAGTATTTAAGCTATAAAACATGTTTTTTTTGACAAAAATTGACCGATTAGCTATTCCCGTTCGGAAATTATATATCACAACTACATATTCTGAGATTTTCATTGTGTCAGCTACCATTGAACGGCCGTAGGCGCTATTTCTAGTTTATCAAAATTTATCGGGAGAACCGGTTAATTATTATATATTAAATTTTTCTCAAAAGCGAAAGTGTTTTAGGAGCTAAATTTTCTAGTAATTATAATACATCCACAGGGGCATCCAAATATATCAAGATTTTAAAGAATCACTATCCACCCAATTTTGAAAATTTCCCAAAACTTTGTATTACCTTTAACACGATCACAAAGAAGTTAAGAAATATACGTAATTAAAACATCCATTGCCTATTGTATTCTAAATAGAAACATATATAAACATCTTTTTGTAATTTGTGTATTGAAACATTTTCGATTCATTTACATTTTTATTCACTTTTATCATTTCTTCTAGACACATATCCTCCTATTGTGACATGTTTGAATGTAACTCTCCCTTCCGAGTCACCGAACACCTTTTCTGGATTGACGAATGGTACAACCTATAACTACACAGATGCAAGTACTGACCCGAATGGAGTGACTTATAACGTTACACTAGATGTTGATCTGTTTCCTCCAGGATACACACCAGTAACAATGTTTGCGGTCGATGCATTTAACAACTCAAAATCCTGCCTATTCTACGTACAGAACACACGTAGGTCTTATGGGACTTTGTTCCATGAAGATTATTATTCGTCAGTGATAAAGCAATTATTAGCGATGTTACAATCAGTTACTGAATGAACTTGCAACTGCTACGCGACATTTTCCAAAATCCCACTGGATTATTTGGGATGTCTAATTCCCCCTGATAAAGTACGTTGCACTGCAAATCTTGAGATTTTCCCATTTCTGATATCGGTACTTGAATTACAATTTAGCAAAAGAATTTCTTACATACACTGTCGCTCATAAAGGTGGAATATTTTAGTTTTACCCCAATTTATGGAATTATTTTAAAAATTATTTAAAAATAATAGATCTACATAAAAGTATACATTCTCAGATTTTATTGAATAATAATTTGCCAATGTGTGTTTTGCGGGACTGCTAAAGCATGTGTATGCTACTATGCTTATTTACTAGGGGACCTACGCCCTTCAGTCATAAATTACAGTAATGAGGATTAATGCCCCACAAAAGGGCACTAATATAGGATATCGACACGGTTTTGATCCTGGGGCCTCACAGTTACGAGGCTATTGTTTTGTCATTGAACCATGACTGTACGCAGCGGGGGCTAGGGTAGGGGGCAGTTTCCAGAAATTTAAAAAAAAAAAAAAAATGCAATAAATTTTCAATAATTTATTGTATTTTACCCCGGTCCCCAACATAAAATAATCCTCTGGACGGCCATGCATTATGGCTGAAGGCATGGGCACACAGAAGATTTTTTATGTTGGGAACCGGGGTAAAATGCAATAAATTATTGAAAATTTATTGCATTTTCTGTTTTTTATTTTATTTATGGAAACTGCCCCCTACCCTAGCCCCCGCTGCGTACAGTCATGGTTCAATGACAAAGCAATGGCCTCGTAACTGTGAGGCCCCAGGATCAAAACCGTGTTGATGTGCTATATTAGTGCCCTTTTGTGGGGCATTAATCCTCATTACTGTCATTTATGACTTAAGGGCATAGGTCCCCTAGATGATAAGCATAGTAGCATACACATGCTTTAGCAATCACTCAAAACACACATTGGCAAATTACTATTCAATAAAATCTGAGAATGTATACTATTATCTAGATCTACTATTTTTAAATTATTTTTAAAATAATTCCATAAATTGGGATAAAAAAAAAATATTCCACCTTTATGAGCGACAGTGTAAAAGTAGACAGTTTTTGCGCAAATTTCGAAAACTTAAGAATTTGAAAACTGTATTTTTCTTACATCTACCTATACAAACCGAGTTACCAACCTTCTTTTATTATCAATGTTATCTTGACATGCAGTTAGCGAGCTGCCTGCGAACTGTCCAGACTTGAATCGCAATGTAAGCACAGACGTGGACCAAGCGACGTATACCTTTAGCCTAGATTTCGGAGCAGATAACGTCACCAAATCTGTAGATAGTTACAGATATCACGGAGATGGTGTATCGGTTAATCTTACACTAGGAGGTTCCCCACTTGGAAGCAGTGTGTACATAGGAACCCACGAAGTGGTTGCCCTAATCTATGATGACGTATTGAATAAGACATGCACGGGGTCCTCCGTTGTCGAAGGTACTATGAATAGATATATTCACGCCAGTGTTTTTCTGAATATGTTTGTTTACGTTTACCCATAAGCTTCTTAGGTGCATCTCATTTTCATGGGCTAAAGATCGAGAATGATTCTTTTAACACATTTTAACACAATCACAAAGATTTTTGGAGAAATATAGGTAATTAAAACATCCATTGCCTATTGTATTCCAAATAGAAACAAAGGTAAACATCTTTTTGTAATTTGTGTATTGAAACATTTTCGATTCATTTAAATTTTTATTCACTTTTATCATTTCTTCTAGACACATATCCTCCAATTGTGACATGTTTGAATGTAACTCTCCCTTCCGAGTCACCGAACACCTTTTCTGGATTGACGAATGGTACAACCTATAACTACACAGATGCAAGTACTGACCCGAATGGAGTGACTTATAACGTTACACTAGGTGTTGATCTGTTTCCTCCAGGATACACACCAGTTACAATGTTTGCGGTCGATGCATTTAACAACTCAGAATCCTGCCTATTCTACGTACAGAACACACGTAGGTCTTATGGGACTTTGTTCCATGAAGAGTATTATTCGTCAGTGATAAAGCAATTATTAGCGATGTTACAATCAGTTACTGAATGAACTTGCAACTGCTACGCGACATTTTCCCAAATCCCACTTGGTTATTCGGGAGGGTCTAATTCCCCCCTGATAAAGTACGTTGCACTTCAAATCTTGAGATTTTCCCATTTCTGATATCGGTACTTGAATTACAATTTAGCAAAAGAATTTCTTACATAAAAGTAGACAGTTTTTGCGCAAATTTCGAAAACTTAAGAATTTGAAAACTTAATTGTTCTTACATCTACCTATACAAACCGAGTTACCAACCTTCTTTTATTATCAATGTTATCTTGACATGCAGTTAGCGAGCTGCCTGTGAACTGTCCAGACTTGAATCGCAATGTAAGCACAGATGTGGACCAAGCGACGTATACCTTTAACCTAGATTTCGGAGCAGATAACGTCACCAAATCTGTAGATAGTTACAGATATCACGGAGATGGTGTATCGGTTAATCTTACACTAGGAGGTTCCCCACTTGGAAGCAGTGTGTACATAGGAACCCACGAAGTGGTTGCCCTAATCTATGATGACGTATTGAATAAGACATGCACGGGGTCCTCCGTTGTCGAAGGTACTATGAATAGATATATTCACGCCAGTGTTTTTCTGAATATGTTTGTTTACGTTTACCCATAAGCTTCTTAGGTGCATCTCATTTTCATGGGCTAAAGATCGAGAATGATTCTTTTAACACATTTTAACACAATCACAAAGATTTTTGGAGAAATATAGGTAATTAAAACATCCATTGCCTATTGTATTCCAAATAGAAACAAAGGTAAACATCTTTTTGTAATTTGTGTATTGAAACATTTTCGATTCATTTAAATTTTTATTCACTTTTATCATTTCTTCTAGACACATATCCTCCAATTGTGACATGTTTGAATGTAACTCTCCCTTCCGAGTCACCGAACACCTTTTCTGGATTGACGAATGGTACAACCTATAACTACACAGATGCAAGTACTGACCCGAATGGAGTGACTTATAACGTTACACTAGGTGTTGATCTGTTTCCTCCAGGATACACACCAGTTACAATGTTTGCGGTCGATGCATTTAACAACTCAGAATCCTGCCTATTCTACGTACAGAACACACGTAGGTCTTATGGGACTTTGTTCCATGAAGAGTATTATTCGTCAGTGATAAAGCAATTATTAGCGATGTTACAATCAGTTACTGAATGAACTTGCAACTGCTACGCGACATTTTCCCAAATCCCACTGGGTTATTCGGGAGGTCTAATTCCCCCCTGATAAAGTACGTTGCACTTCAAATCTTGAGATTTTCCCATTTCTGATATCGGTACTTGAATTACAATTTAGCAAAAGAATTTCTTACATAAAAGTAGACAGTTTTTGCGCAAATTTCGAAAACTTAAGAATTTGAAAACTTAATTGTTCTTACATCTACCTATACAAACCGAGTTACCAACCTTCTTTTATTATCAATGTTATCTTGACATGCAGTTAGCGAGCTGCCTGTGAACTGTCCAGACTTGAATCGCAATGTAAGCACAGATGTGGACCAAGCGACGTATACCTTTAACCTAGATTTCGGAGCAGATAACGTCACCAAATCTGTAGATAGTTACAGATATCACGGAGATGGTGTATCGGTTAATCTTACACTAGGAGGTTCCCCACTTGGAAGCAGTGTGTACATAGGAACCCACGAAGTGGTTGCCCTAATCTATGATGACGTATTGAATAAGACATGCACGGGGACCTCCGTTGTCGAAGGTACTATGAATAGATATATTCACGCCAGTGTTTTTCTGAATATGTTTGTTTACGTTTACCCATAAGCTTCTTAGGTGCATCTCATTTTCATGGGCTAAAGATCGAGAATGATTCTTTTAACACATTTTAACACAATCACAAAGATTTTTGGAGAAATATAGGTAATTAAAACATCCATTGCCTATTGTATTCCAAATAGAAACAAAGGTAAACATCTTTTTGTAATTTGTGTATTGAAACATTTTCGATTCATTTAAATTTTTATTCACTTTTATCATTTCTTCTAGACACATATCCTCCAATTGTGACATGTTTGAATGTAACTCTCCCTTCCGAGTCACCGAACACCTTTTCTGGATTGACGAATGGTACAACCTATAACTACACAGATGCAAGTACTGACCCAAATGGAGTGACTTATAACGTTACACTAGGTGTTGATCTGTTTCCTCCAGGATACACACCAGTAACAATGTTTGCGGTCGATGCATTTAACAACTCAGAATCCTGCCTATTCTACGTACAGAACACACGTAAGTCTTATGGGACTTTGTTCCATGAAGAGTATTATTCGTCCAGTGATAAAGCAATTATTAGCGATGTTACAATCAGTTACTGAATGAACTTGCAACTGCTACGCGACATTTTCCCAAATCCCACTGGGTTATTCGGGAGGTCTAATTCCCCCCTGATAAAGTACGTTGCACTTCAAATCTTGAGATTCTCACATTTCTGATATCGGTACTTGAATTACAATTTAGCAAAAGAATTTCTTACATAAAAGTAGACAGTTTTTGCGCAAATTTCGAAAACTTAAGAATTTGAAAACTGTATTTTTCTTACATCTACCTATACAAACCGAGTTACCAACCTTCTTTTATTATCAATGTTATCTTGACATGCAGTTAGCGAGCTGCCTGCGAACTGTCCAGACTTGAATCGCAATGTAAGCACAGACGTGGACCAAGCGACGTATACCTTTAGCCTAGATTTCGGAGCAGATAACGTCACCAAATCTGTAGATAGTTACGGATATCACGGAGATATTGTATCGGTTAATCTTACACTAGGAGGTTCCCCACTTGGGAGCAGTGTGTACATAGGAACCCACGAAGTGGTTGCCCTCATCTATGATGACGTATTGAATAAGACATGCACGGGGACCTCCGTTGTCGAAGGTACTATGAATAGATATATTCACGCCAGTGTTTTTCTGAATATGTTTGTTTACGTTTACCCATAAGCTTCTTAGGTGCATCTCATTTTCATGGGCTAAAGATCGAGAATGATTCTTTTAACACATTTTAACACAATCACAAAGATTTTTGGAGAAAGATAGGTAATTAAAACATCCATTGCCTATTGTATTCCAAATAGAAACATATGTAAACATCTTTTTGTAATTTGTGTATTGAAACATTTTCGATTCATTTAAATTTTTATTCACTTTTATCATTTCTTCTAGACACATATCCTCCAATTGTGACATGTTTGAATGTAACTCTCCCTTCCGAGTCACCGAACACCTTTTCTGGATTGACGAATGGTACAACCTATAACTACACAGATGCAAGTACTGACCCGAATGGAGTGACTTATAACGTTACACTAGATGTTGATCTGTTTCCTCCAGCATACACACAAGTAACAATGTTTGCGGTCGATGCATTTAACAACTCAGAATCCTGCCTATTCTACGTACAGAACACACGTAGGTCTTATGGGACTTTGTTCCATGAAGATTATGATTCGTCCAGTGATAAAGCAATTATTAGCGATGTTACAATCAGTTACTGGATGAACTTGCAACTGCTACGCGACATTTTGCAAAATCCCACTTGGTTATTCGGGAGGGTCTAATTCCCCCCTGATAAAGTACGTTGCACTGCAAATCTTGAGATTTTCCCATTTCTGATATCGGAACTTCAATTAGAATTTAGCAAAAGATTTTTTTTACATACTGGTAGAAATTTTTTGCGCAAATTTCGAAAACTTAAGAATTTGAAAACTTAATTGTTCTTACATCTACCTATACAAACCGAGTTACCAACCGTCTTTTTTTATCAATGTTATCTTGACATGCAGTTACCGAGCTGCCTGTGAACTGTCCAGACTTGAATCGCAATGTAAGCACAGATGTGGACCAAGCGACGTATACCTTTAACCTAGATTTCGGAGCAGATAACGTCACCAAATCTGTAGATAGTTACAGATATCACGGAGATGGTGTATCGGTTAATCTTACACTAGGAGGTTCCCCACTTGGAAGCAGTGTGTCAATAGGAACTCATGGAATAGTTGCCCTTATCTATGATGACGTATTGAATAAGACATGCGCAGGAACATATAATATTCAAGGTAATATAAGTCATATCATTCACAGATATGGTGAATATTGAGAGAGCAGAATAAATGATATTGCAATATGCGTTTAAACAGGAAGTGAATCGTCATTACGAAAATAAGTTTATTTTCCAATTCATAAATATTTGATAATAAGTGCCAACAAGATATTAGACAAAATATTCAAATATAAAGTTGCTCTGTCAAATGCATTTTTTCCTTTTGTTGTCTCATACGTTACCACGTATTGTGGTATATCACACGCAATGTTCATTTTCATCCAAGTGTTTATTGATATTTTTGTGCTGTTAACTTTACATACAGGGTACATAATAATAGTAATAACAATAATGGCATCGATACTACAAATGATAATGATAATATTAATAGTACTACTGCTACCACTAATGATAATAGTTATTATCATTATTATTAGTAGTAGTAGTATCTTAATATTAATAACAATAGCGACTTGTTGACTGTTCATATCCGTCACGCAGTCATGTTTATAGTGCTTAGACTTCATTATCCTCGTCATATCCGAGTCATCAAGGTAAAAAGCACTAAAACATATAAGTTACATATTTACACCAGGGAGGAGAGTGGCAATATTAGGCTAACGTGTGGGAAAAAAAACGTAAGCTACGGTCACAAAGGTTCGTACGAACGATGCGTTCGTACGAATCTTCCCGTTTTCCATTGTCTTTCCGAATTTCCATTGTCTGAAAATCGTACGGCGTTCGTAGCAGTTCGTAATGGCATTTGTAACCGAGGCTTTAATGCTGGGATATTAGAATCTCGTAACTTGTGATCTACAGTACGATGGTTTATTCACTAGGCCACATTTGTACACAACTCATACATATCGATTTTAATCCTAGATATGGCACAAAAAATGGCATTATTCAATCATACTTTTCGGTATATCATGAAAAATTTATATAAATTAACAGCATCATATTCATCGATTTACTTTGACAGATGTTGAATCCCCGTTTATAACGTGTTCCAACATTACTGTACCGTTTGGTAACGTTGTGCATAATTATGACGCAACTGTTTTGGATAATGTCGATGAGCTGCCGTCACTTCGGGTTGATTTTGCTCCACAGCAACCGGGTCAAAGATTAGATCCAGGTGTCAATGAAATATCAGCAACTGTCACCGATTCAGCTGGAAACATCAATAGCACCATCTGTTATATCGATATACAAAGTGAGTTTTTATTATTACACACTCTAACATAACGCTTTCTGCATTGCCCATGTAAAAAATTTGGTTAATGGAAATGCCTAGTAGTAGCTTGGTACTTCGGACATTCCCATTGTTACTGAAATTGCACGATTTCCGTACAATCTCTGAGCAGCCTCTTTACGGATTGACCTCGGCCTTCCCACGAGGGCCAATACAAGGAATGACATGATGCTCGTAGATAACGTAAACACAAACATCGTAGCCCGTTATCTCATACAATGCCCCCAAAATCGCACGAAAATCGTAGACCAATTTATCGTACGACGCCCGGGACAAATGTGAACTAATGCCGTACGATAAATTAGTCTACGATTTTTCGTGTGATTTGGGAGGCATCGTAGGAGGATACGGCGTACGATGTTTGTGTTTACATTATCTACGAGCATCGTGCCATTTCTTGTATTGGCCCTCATGGGCAGGCCGGGGCAAATCCGTACAGAGGCTGCTCGGAGATTGTACAGAAATCGTGCAACTTCAATGCAGTAACCATGCAGTCTCCGCCGCCTCCGCATGGAAATCGGATAGAGCCCGTGCAGCTTCCGTGCAAAGGTTGCGCGGAGAAGGCGCGATGACCGTGCAGCCGACGTGCCGTTTTTAAGCGTTTTTGCCTCCATCTTCACCTTAAAAATCGTGTGTTTGCTGCACGATCATTATTTTTGGATTGCTTTGTATTTCTTTGTTTTTATCCTTGAGTTTATCCTCTTCTCTTTCGTCATGTATTTCTTTGTATTAATCATTAAGTCTATCCTCTTCTTAATCATTGAATCTACCCTCTTCTCTTTCGTTATGTATTTCTTTGTTGTTATCATTGAGTCTATTCTCTTCTCTTTCGTTATGTATTTTTTTGTTTTAATCGTTGAGTGTATCCTCTTATCTTTTGTTATGCATTTATTTGTTTTAATCATTCAATCTATCCTCTTATCTTCCGTTATGCATTTCTTTGTTTTAATCGTTGATTCTATCCTCTTCTCTTACGTTATGTATTTCTTTCTTTTAATCATTGAGTCTATCCTCTTCTCTTTCGTTGTGTATTTCTTTGTTTTAATCATTGAGTCTATCCTCATCTCTTTCGTTATGTATTTGTTTGTTTTTCATTATGTATTTCTTTAATCGTTCGCTAGAGTCCTTCAATCTATCCTTACCTCTTTGGTCATGTATTTCTTTGTTTTTCCCTTTATTTCTCCTTCAATCTATCCTTTTCTCTTTCATTATTTTGTTCTTTGTTTTTAATCCCTAAGTCCGTCCATTTCTTATGTTTTCCTTCTCCATATCTTCTTCACTCTCCTGATGTATTTCTTTTTTCCCCTTTTGTGTCCCCGTTTCTATCATGTTCCCTTGCCTGGGCGTACGTGCTTGCACATGTTACTGCTAGTGATTGTAAGTGTGCGCTGACGACTTAGACTCTTTTTCCAGAGCACCTCTAGGAATTTGTTCGCGAAAATGGCTAAACAGTTGTGTAAAAAAAAAAATAAGATGCGTACACACCTGTTTGACCATTTTCGCCAAGTAAAATCATGGAAGTGCTCTGGTGAAAGAGTCTATTCGTTAACGCACACTTACAATCAACAGCAGCAGTATAGTGTGCACAATATTATGTGGAAGCACGTACATGTCCAAGGGAAGGCTAGATGATAAAAAAAGGGAAAACGAAGAAATACATGAGAAGAGTGGAGAGGATATGAAGAAGGAAAAACAAGAAAATACATAAGGAAAGAGAAGGGGATAGATCAAAGGAAAAACTAAGAAATACATAACGGAAGAGAAGAGGATGTAGATTAAAGGAAGAACAAAGAAATAGGGCATACAATAACCGCTACATAACGAAAGAGAAGAGAATAGATTGAAGCTAGAAAACAAAGAAAAACATGACGAAAGAGAAGAGGATAAATTGAAGGAAAAACAAAGAAATACATAAGGGAAAAAAAGAATCGTGTAGGGCTTCAAACACCTTAATAAATGTAGCCAATCTGCTAGCTGCACGCGCGAGTTTGTACAGCTCTAACAATCCAAAAGACTCTCCAGTCGTTCGCACAGTATATTTGACTTAACTGGCTAAACAGTTGTGTAAAAAAAAAAATATGCGCTAGCGCGCCCGTGCAGTCTGCGCAGCCTCGGCAGGGAAATCGTACGGAGCCCGTGTAGCTTCCGTGCAGAGGTCGAGCACTTCCCCATGTTCACCGAAAAATCGTGCGTTTGCTGCACGATCATCGAGAGGCTTGCGCGATGCCCGTGCGTGGATCATGCGATGCAACATATGACATGTTTACGGGCTACGGGCTTACGATTTTTCAAACTCCGCAAAACAAAAACGTAGAGGCCGCGGATATCTCACGGCCGCCTTCTGCCGCCGTATGGAGGCCACACGGAAAAGGGGATACGGGCAGGATAGGGCTCCGTAGACTAATCGCAGGCCAAATGTAATCTAGGCATCAGAGCAGTTCCACGGCGACCATACGTCGGCCGTACGAAGGCCTTGTGTTTGCAATGCGGCTGCCCTAGGGCCTTATGAATTAAAATTGACTTTTGTAGAACCTACAAAATTGCGGCGGCTGCAGGAATTCTACGGCCGCCCTAGGGTAGCTTTAGGCGACCATGCGTCATCACTTCAAAGGCCGTACGGCAGCCGCAGGTTTTCTGTCTCCACAAATTCAGAATACGCCGTGTGGCAACCCTAATATATGGGACCGCTACCGTATGTGACCCTGGCAATGCTGAGTCGGCCTTATGATAGCTATGGGTCGTAGAAAGTTTATACCACACGGCCGCGGCGGCAAATGTGACTGAGGTATGAGGCATAAACAAACATGGTGCAAGAGGTGCACTGCGCATAGTTAGTGCCCTCATGTTGTCATCAGTAATGCAAATATTCATTGTATAAATGAGCTGATACATCATGAAAAATTAATATATATGAGGAAAACTAATCGCTGTGAATGCGTATATATATATATATATATATAAAATGACGTATGTATATCTTATATCTGTAACGAAATAAAAAGTTCCAAATGTGGGATATATAAATTTACATTGCAGAGAAGGTAAGATGTGACATTACTGGTCAGAATGCTAGCTAAGGCAAACGCTAGTCAATCCATCTCTTTTTAGAAATATTCTTTCCCGCCAAAATAAATTAGATTCAAAACCATATTTGATAACATTATATTCATTTCATTTGTATTTTTCATCCATTTATTTATTTATCTGTGATATATTTCAAGTGATTCTGAGCCTAATTCTATTTTTTTTTATATCTCTCCTCATGTTTTTCTTCTCTGAAGTGAGAGAGTTGCCGGTCGAGATTTTGCAGGCATTCGCTGTTCCTGTTAGAAACACATACTTTCTATATTTCACTGTTCGCCTCAACGAGGGCCTGACCTCATACAATTTCTCGTTCTATGGTGACATCATATATGACCCCATTGTTGTTAATGGAATGGAAGAATTTCAGCCAACAGGTCTGTCGCCTGGTGTTAACAACATCAGGATTAAAGCAACAGATGGAGTCTTGTCAAAAACCATCGAGTTTGTTCTAAATGTCACAAGCAATCTAACAGGTGAATCTATTACATATGAATGGTTTTTAATAGACAGCTCCATTAAGTAAAAAGGTGATAAAATGTTGGGTGTTTTAATTTGTGTCTTTCAATAGATGTTTCCCACACTACTGGAAGTTAGTGCACAGAACTTAAATGCATTTACCTACATCTATCTTATCATATTGGACCTACTACAAATGGACACTGATCGGTTCCATAATACATGCATGCACCTGACTCTGACAAAAGTATCATAATGACATTCCAAACATGCTTCCAAACTTTGATCTCATCACGACCACCGCCAGTCAGCCATAACAAAAACAGAACTGTGACTGGAACTCTACAAAATGCCTGCGCAAAAGAAACTAAATCGCTAAAAAATCACGGAAATGCATGTGCAGTTGTGGCGTACGTATCAATGTTGACGTATATGAAGTTTTCAATTGAAAATTAGAAGTAATTTACAAGAGAAACCTGTAAATTTGGCTGCAACACAATGATTTTAAACTTCATTTTAAAACTTACCCTATCCATTTCCAAGGAATAGAAGGTAATAGGACAGTAAAGAGTATGTGTTCTTCGAAAGTATGGCAAGTCCAGATGTATGCCCACCAGTGTCCACTTCTTTTATAATCAATCTAATACCACACAAATTGTCATACTTTGGGGTTCACTGCTCCTCTAATTGGTCTTAAATCACGATATTTTTCCTGAAACTACACTCTGGGCCCTGGCCCAGCGAAAAGAATCTGAAGAAATGTGAAAGGTTCTTTTGTCTGTGATGGTGCGTGATTACATAATCAACATTGTCGCGTCAAATGAATGTCCTCATCAACATACACATTCGGGACTTTTAGCTTTGCACGACGAGAACGTGGACTGCCACGTGTGACATCCTTTTAAGGCAATCTGACGTCCTTTTAAGGAACTGGCAGTGCCTTAAAAGAACGTCACATTGCCTTCAAAGGATGTCACATGTGGCAGTCCACGTTCTCGTTGTGCAAATCTAAAAGTCCCTATTATCAGGTGGCGGTGGTCATGATGTGGTCAAAGAAAGACTTTAATTTTTAGTCCATCTGTAGTAGGGCCCATGATCATATCAATATTTAAAGAAAATGCATCTTAAATACTCTATATCTCTGGCTAGTGAAAAAGAACTTACAAGCTTGATTAAAACGTTATGTATATAGTGAACAGAATAAGTTATGGTCTGCATTAAATAAACTAAATACAAACAAAAACAAACAATTTTTTTTGAAAATTCTGCCCACCTTAAAGATACTATGTCCCTTTTGCAGCCAACATCAAATTATGTAGAACTTTGCAGGAATTATGAATATGTCATGTATGTATGTGAAGTTTAAACGTTAGCAGTGTTCTAATATTCATATTATGCAAGGAAACCGTTTACTTGCTGTTTACTTACTGTCATACACTATTGAGTGACTGACTGGCTTTTTTCCTTCTTTGGTAATAACATACATGAAATGAGCTGTAAAGGGTACATGAGCATATTTTGTCTACATCAATAATCCACTTCTTGTAATGGTCAAATTGAACTGATTGAATATTTGCGCAGCATAAAACGTACGACCATTCGGTACAATGGTGTGAAAATCAGACTATTACTTTACTGGCTGTATAGCTCTTTAGTCCATTCGACAACTAATAGTCGTCATTTTCCCTCTTAAAGACATTTTCAAGCACCCCTTTTTTTTAGGGAAGTTCTAATTAATATTATCTTTAAAATGCCATTGGAATTTAACCTTTTCAATTTTGTTTGGCCTGCAAATAGGACACAGTACATTTAAGACGTAGAAATCAAGTTTAAAACAAGAGGTGGGCCTATTTTAACAAAACTAATTTTAATTATTTCGCTTGAAATTGTTATTTCTATCTGAATCGATTTAAATCCAACATTGCCCGAGTATATACTGTTTTCATATAACGAATTTAAAAATTTAAAAATAGCACCGGAAAATTCGAATTCAAGTCAATTCAAGTCAAGAGCTGTTGTAATGTCGCTTGTCATTTAGATCATTTAGTATCTTTTTCTTTTGATTTGTTTTCTTCTCTTGAAATAGTAAATTATGCACTGCCTGGAAACGTGATTCTGGCAAGAATTAATGGTACCACAGCAACGTTTATGCAAGACCTATTGGATGACACAACTACGACTTTTAAAAACGTTGCATTGGAGCTCCAAGCACAGGTAAGAGAGCGAAATAAAATAAACTTCAAGATAGTTCTTCCACAAGAATTCTGTGAAGGTTCGTTTCTTCTTTTCTTGTTGTTTGCACCTTGGGGAGGGGGAGGGGCATGTTACGTATCTTGATTCACTTACTTTAATGGAAAACAATATGTTTTAGACTAGTATATGTCATACAATATATATGCGTGTGTGTGTGTGAGCGTGTGTACATGTGCGTGTGTTTGTTTGTGTGCGTTTTGTATTTTTCACAATCCTCAAGATCAAAAGTTTGTTGGTTTGTTTGTCTGGGGCTATTTTTTTTAGCACTGTGTTTCCCCTTTGATACAAACCAAGTTCAGAGTTTTATAGAAATACATGTATATAGTATGAATTTCTCCTTTGTTGTTATGGTTGATTATGAAACTGTATAAAATATACGGTAAGAATGTTACTCTCTTCAAGCGCGACCACCAAACACATCTGTCTTACCAAAAGATCCTTAAGTGAACATATTTTGGTATATAACACGTCCACAACTAATTTCCATTGGGGAAATCCACTCCACTCAATGAAATTAATTATTTGCATTGTCTTCGTCTCTCATTATTCTCCTCAACCCCATCATCTTGTTTTCCTCAGCTCGATGAGATATATCAAAACACATCGGGTTTCATCGGCTCACGAGTCGTCTCCTTCAGGAGTGGAAGTATCATTGCCAATTTCATTCTCATTTTCAATCCAACATCGAGCATAAGTGAAGTGGAAGCTAATGAAATTTTTAGAAGCGCATTGACATCTGATGCTGAGATCACTAGCGGTTCCGGACTGTTCCTTACATCACTCACCGCGTTCAACATTTCATGTGAGTTTTTTTTTTAACGATATGCGACCTATTGCACACGGTTTAACATTGAGATTGCGTTATCATCCAGGCGTTAGTAAATTGAATTGTCAGGAGACATTAAATTCATGCGCCAATAATTTAATAGGGTGGATTCACAATTGACAACGCCCCCAACGGCAAGCCGCGACAGGCCAATTTTTCAGCTCGCTCATCGACATTTTTAAACCAAATCACTAGCCACCGATCGAAATGACAAAGTGGTCCGAAGTGTGTAAATGCATTTATTGAGATTGATTGTTTTGATATCAGGGCACATTTTTATATTGAATTTTAATGTCGGAACCCACCCATCAATTGATTCTGACAATACAAATGGTAATTTTGTGGCCAAAAAGTGACCGAAATTACCATTATTATTGTTGTTGATGGGGGTCAAGTTGACCACTTCTTTCTAGCATCAGTGCATATTTTTACATAGAATAGGCCCATCAAACCTTCTTTGTTGATAATAAATTACCCCTGACCAAAAGTTCTCATAAATTCCCAAATATCTTATTGTATGAAACATTATTCCCAATTTTCCTTTTTACCTATTATTTCAAAAGTCATTGCACATTCGGCGTCATTATACGCTTAAGCTATGGTCACAATTCAGAACGACGACCGACCGATTTATAGCCTGCTCGGTCACCACTCGGCATCGCCCAACGATTTTTGGAGAAGTAGAGCAGGCTGTAGAACCACAGCGATGCCTGGGCGGTGCCCTGTCGATTTCCCGTTGGTCGCCGGTCGATTTTAGGTAAAAACTGGGCGAAATCGGGGAGCTTCTCCGGGCGGCGTCCCGCAGTGACCGACTGATGACCCTCCGATTCCGGAGCGGTCTCCCACCGGCCACCGGCTGATTTTAAAACAATTGCCCGGCGGCCGGCCAGTGGTCAGCGGGGCACCAAAATACGCTCGGTGCCCGGGAGTTCCACGCTCGGGCAGTGACCTAATCGAGTGGTCGCCGTCGAGCGATTTAGGTCAAAAATCGAAGCCGCTAGGTCAAAGGCTGCCGACGGATTTTGGACTCGCCGCCCAGTGACCGACTGATCTCCCAGCGGTGACCGGGCGGCGACTGCTTGGCAACCTTTGACCTAATGGCTTCGATTTTTGACCTAAATCGCTCGACGGCGAACGCTCGATTAGGTCGGTGCCCGGCCGGCGACCACCCAGGCACCGAGCGTACTTTGGGCGGCGAGTGAAAGTGAGCAGGCGCCGCGCGAATTTTAACTCCGCGCTAAAATCTTTAGCAGCGACCGAGCGATGCCCTAAAAACAAGCGGTGCGCGGGCGGCCGCCGCTCGGTGCCCGGGCGAAATTGGCTCAAAACTCGCCGCCCGGCCCCGAGCAGGCTACTTTTAGTTGTTGTGACCATAGATTTAGTACTCTTGATAAAATAGTGTCTTTTACGTCTTAATTACATATAATTATTGAATCCGTATAACTTTGGTTCTCGATTTTTTTCCTATTGTGTGCAGTCCCCTGTGAAGACTTGACCTGTGAAAACGGCGGTACCTGTATAATAACAAGTGATGTATCACGGGCAAGATGCAGGTATGTTCTCAACTTTTACCTTTTATTTGCCACAAGTGCATATTGGTACATTTAATAGCCGGCCTGCCACGAGTGCTGCTTTGTGAAACATATGTACATTTTGGAATGATTAAACTGTGAACTATTAAAAAAAAAAATTACACACAAGACCTTTCTTTTTGAGTTCGCTTCATGACGGCCTTTTTTTTTTCTTCAAATAATCGTCATAATTTTATACTAGAAATCTTAGAATAAACTACATAAAAAACAGAAAACTGTGGAAAAATATTCTGTGGTACAGGGATATTATCTGAGGGACACTTTTAGCGTTCACACTTTGGCAAGTTCTGTCAAAAATCAAGTGAACGGTGATCCAAATATATATCGGATTACGAGACATGTCATCGACATCGATACAAAGATGATGCACCATGTTATTTATATTGCTTTGCTTTTTTTTTTATACACATTCGTCTGATTTTTTTTAAATCGTTAGATGTACCGAGGGCTGGACCGGGGACCGCTGTCAAACATCCACAAACAGCACACGTAAGTTTATTTTGTATAGTTGTTATCATTACTATCAATTAAATAATTATTGTTATTTTCTTTATCATTATTATTATCATCATTATTGTTATTAATATCATGATGAAATAATCAATTCATGATAATTTTAGAACCATAGCTATCTTGATAAAATACATTTTTTTATTTTCATCTTGATTGAGTATTTATTCCCACCTGCGTTTCATGAAAAAACAACACATTCTTGTATTGTTTACAAGTATATTCATAAATTTAACATTTTTTCAAAAAAAGATGTGATAAATTCTTCCTTTTCTCCCCTCAGCACCCTCTATTGCAGTGATCATCGGAACAACATCAGTTGTATTTTTCTTCTTCATCCTTGCCGTGGTTATCTTCATGCTCGCTTTGAGAAACAGAATGATGATGAAATACCAAGGCAGCTGGGGCCATTCTAGGCCCACAATTATGTTTCAGACTAGAGATTACAATTACGGTAATCATCGGATGTCGTCACGAGGTTGGTTGCTTGGATTTTTCTCCATATAAGTATTCACTTCACAGTTTAAGTTTTGGCCTGAAATATATATATATACCATATATATATATATATAAATAATAAATAATTAGTCGAAAGTCCGGTTTTTAATTAGTTTTAGCCTTTCATGGTTTATTGTTACAGTCCAAAATATTGTGATAGTAAAAAATCAACGAGGTTGTTTTAATTTTTATATTTGCATAATTATGTTTGTGTTTGCCGGCAGCCATTTTGACAATTAGCCCGACTGTCAGGGAAAATGTACCGAGCGGCCATTTTGAAAGAAAAACAAAGGGGAAAAGGGCCTCCTCCTTCCTATTTTTCAAAAAGGTAGGACGCTAAACATGTTTTTTTTAAATTTAGCCTTACTCATTGATTCGGACAATATTGAAATAAAAATTAGTGTGTTGAGTTCATGTAAGTTGGTTGGTAATTCGGTATACATTTAAAATACTTAGTGTTAGACTATACATTTCTTAGGGCATACTTGGTTTCTTTGTAACTGAGATTTCCCTGCATACATATCAACCGGGAGTTGTTGTTGTCGTTGTTGTTTACCAGGAAACCTAATTCCTCATCACGAAGACAGAAGTCGGGACCGCTCCCATCGTAATGATAATATGGACAGGGACATGGCTTTATTTACTCAGTACAAGAGTCGAGAGCAGAGGAGGGCCAGCCAAAATTTTAAGACCGGACCCTCCTTCACTAGACGTGCGCCGGTAAGTGTATGTGGTTGTTCATCAGTGTGCACACAGATCAAAAAGCTAAAAGCGGGATATTTTACCGACATGCTGTCATGTATTTCCAATTGCGGCGAAGGCGTACAAAGGAGTGATTTCCGGTTCCTGTACCCGCCAACATTGCATGCGCGTAATACAACGGAGACATGTGACTGACGACACATTGCTGTGTTTGCCCAAGTACTCGCATTGTTTAAAAATGGAAAATGAATTAATTGAATTGAATTGTTGTTGTTATTCTTGCTGGTATTATTTTCTAATAATATAGGTTTCTTTAGATGTAGCCAATCATTTGGGTTAACTGCTAGCTAAAGAAAAAATGTTTCAGATATATCTACTAAAATAGAAATCAAATTGATTAACATGATTAACTTGCTTAACTTGTAGTCAATATTTGTTTATGTTACAGAGCCACGAACCTCTGCAGAATGGTAATCACCGAATGAATGGAATATCGCTTCGAGATACTTATTACTACAGAGGACAAATTTATCTGTAGACCCGCTGACTCTATAGATTGTATACTTACTCTTGGTCATAAAGGTGAATAATTATTTTTACCCCAATTTATGGAATGATTTTGACAACGATTTATTCCTAAAAGATCTAAATAATAGTATACCTGTATATTCTCAGATTTTATTGAATAATAATTTGTGAGTGTTTGATTTGCGTGACTGCTAAAGCATGTGTGTGCTACTATGCTAATCAACTAGGAGACCTACGTCCTTAAGCCATAACGGACAGTAATGAGGATTAATGCCTCACAAAAGGGCACTAATATAGCTGATCGACATAGATTTTATTCTAGGGCCTCACATTAACGAAGCCATTGCTTAGCCACTGAATCATGGCTGTACGCTGCGGAGGCTAGGGTACGTCGCCGCCCCCATACATACACAAAAACACAAAGAAAATGCAATATATGATCAATAATTCATTGCATTTTCCCCCGGTCCCAAACAGGAAAATTCCTCTGTAGGGGCATGCATTATGGTTCAAGGTATGCCCACATGGAGGATTGGTTTTTATTTTTGGGGGTCGGGGCAAAATGCAATTAATTATTGATAATTTATTGCATTTTTTTTGTTTTTTTTTTTGGTATTTGTGGGGGCGGCGACGTATCGTAGCCCCCGCTGTGTACAATCATAATTCAGTGGCTAAGCAATGGCCTCGTTACTATGAGCCCCCAGGATCAAAACTGTGTCGACGTGCTATATAAGAGCCCTTTTATCAGGCATTAATTATCATTACTGTCAGTTATGACTGAAGGACGTAGGTCCCCTTGTTGATTAGCATAGCAGCATATGCATGCTTTAGCAGTCACGCAAAACAAACATTCACAATTTATTATTCTATAAAATCTGAGAATGTATACTATTATCTAGATCTATTAGGGATAAATCATTGTAAAAATCATTCCATTAATTGGGGTAACAATAATTATTCCACCTTTATGACCAACAGTATACATGTACAATAAAATATCATGGTGTCGATTGGGAAGACCCACTAGATAGATTCATGACTTCTTTCCCAAGGTTTCTAATTCCGAAAATGAAAAAGGGTTTGTTATTCCGTAATTGAAATCTATCTATAAAGGCATGTTTTCCTAGCCCAAAGGTTGATTGCTGTAATTGTCTATACATTTCTGTTTTCTGCCACCCCAGTACAGTAAGTGTCGCTCTTGGTATTCTACCTTTTACTTTTCCTTGCAATAAATCTTTTAAGAGGCTCTGATGTCTTTTAACGTGGCCAAAGTATTTTGCCTTTTTTTTCTTCAATCATTCCTATTACGATATTTTTTTTTAGCCCTCCATATGCACTTTTTCTCCAGTACACTCAATTTTCCATATTCTTTGTAAATGAAATAGACCAGACCTAGAAATTTACATGTCTCTTTCTAATTTTTGTAGCCTTTGTAGTAAGCTTTTGTTGATGAAAGCAGAAAAATAGGAGAAACGGGATGGTAAAATAAAAACGGACAAACAATAAGAGAGTTATGAATGTTTGAACTATTTATGTGAATCTCACAATGGCAATTTTGTCAGTAGATTGTGCTGTTTTCATAAACAACTCCCCGTTTTTCTCGTACAAAAATATAATTAATTCTGTTTTCCCTAGGCCACTTCTCAAAGATATTAGAGAAAGCATATTATTGAAGGTCCTCGAGGAAGGAAAGACCCTGTCGAGTCATTCTATGTTTTAATTCAATCTTAGTAGGGTTATGTGTTGGAACTAATGGGAAAGTTGTCCCGCACTACATCACACTGACATATCTATTCAAAAAATTTGAAATTCTCATTTCTCATAAGTGTATTGATTATAACTTTCAAAAATCCATAACTTTTGATGAATATATTTTTTCCCCTTTTTTTCGGGGGTCCGATTTCACCAGAGTACTTTCTTGATTTCTCTGTTGTCTTTGACATGAGTAAGTTATTCGTGTAATATTTACCTTAAATAAGTACTAAGATGAATTATGAAAGTAAAAGGTCATCAAGTGTGAAAAGAGGTCATATTTTTTCCTTTTCTCGCTGCCTTACCCCTCCTCCTCCTCCTCCTCCATTCGGTTAGGGGCAGGTAAGCTACTGATGATACACTTTATGTGCCCTTTTAAAAAAATCCCTATAATTTTGATTAATTTAGTTTTTAAGTGTAACGAAACCTGTAATTACGTAACTCCTTCTTCGTTCTTTTATTAGCTTAATAAAAGTCTTGTTAGTTGTGCTTGTGTTACATGTTTATATCTTGCAGATATACTCTGTTTTATTTATATATATTTTTATATACATTACTATAGATGAGAGTGAATCAGTTACTGACAAAATGATATAAGATTGTGATATTGATCTGCCGTGATATGAAGTCAACTGACCCTACTAGAAACGTAGTGTTACTGTTGCATAAGTTCCTGCAATATCCTTAGGCATAGATCACTTTTCAATCAAATGAGAATTGCAGTGATAATGAGAAAGGGCTCATAAAGCATGAACGAAAAAACAATTTAGGCATTAAAATGTGTAGTGATATTCTATATGATATTAGCTGGTATGTGGGACATCATTTTACGTATAGTTTATTTTTTGTTGATTGTGAATGAATAGTATGGGATTACTACAAATAGGTTGTACTATTCGGTGTGCAAAAGGAATGCCAATACTTTTTTACATAACAGATACGCGAAGTTATGAGATATGAGATATATTTTGTTTTTCTATATGCCATGTGCTCTCGTAGTAATTTGGAGATTTGTGGAGGAAATGCATATTTTTAGATGTAAATCTCTTTTGTGAATAGTGTAGCTGTTGTTCATGATGGTGGTATTGTGTCCCCGACATGTTCATGTGCCTATGTTAATTTTTAAAAATCTTGTATAGTTAATATTTTGTAAGCTCATTAAGATAGTCTTCCTATGGTAAACATTAAATATCATCAATCGTTGATTACAATTACTCTGATCATAATCCATTATAATCATCCGTCAAAAGTTGCGCCTATATGCCTCATATTTACACTTGCTGATATATGTTTTTTAATAAATAATTTTTGTTCAATGCAACTCGTAGCACATAAGGAATTTTACACTTTTCCAGTATTTTTGCACCCTCTTTTTTGTTTTCTCCCCCTCTTTTTTGTGTGTTTTTCTTCAGAGATATAAAGCAAATAACTACCGTTGGTGAAGGTGATGGGACAAACTATCACTTCCGAGGCGACCTGGATGTAGCTATCTTTCCGAAGCGAAGCTGAGGAAAGATAGCGTATACATTCAGTTCGCCGAGGAAGTGATAGTTTGCCATCGCCTGAAACCAAAAGGTGATTATTTGCTTTCTATTCCACAGCGGAAACATTTCACTTATTTCGGTGGTGTGACCATATAGTTTGCGCGTGACCAAAGTGCGCGTACTATAACACTATAAGCGCTTAAAGAGGAGAGCAATACGCAGCGTATACAATTAAAGTGCGTTGCACTGTGTAGATAGTACTACTATCTACACAGTGCAACGAACTTTTTGCTTCTCCCAGCAATGACGGGCGAACTATCTTTCATCACGTGATTTACTTTCGTCCAATCGTACAGCAAGGTTCTTAGTATGTGGAATATAATTTGGTATATCATAGTTATAATGTTGTGCATATCTTAAAGACCGTCAACACTACTGAGCCAGAAGGGATAAGACCATACAGCGAGGTCACTGACAGGTGGCTATCTCATTAACCAAGCTCTCAACTAACATACAAACAAGAGTATCATGGGGGACCAACAG